TTTTATCAGTCCTCAGCAAAAGCCTTGAGTCAGTCCTCATTCTTTATATTTTGCTGCCAGTGAGCCAGACTTTTTTTGAAGTGGTCTTGGGGACTTTTTTTCATGTTGAACCACTTAACACGGACCTATGAGTCATTCAAGGATTAAAAAAACATCTAACTGAAGGGATGAATCAGTGTTGTGTCTACACTTAACAGACGACTTAGCAAAGAATCCATTTTAAATTGTATCTTTAGATATTTTGTTACTAGCGGCCTGTTACAAAAACACATAATGTCTAATCAGAAGGGTTCTCAGTGGAAAGGTGGCTGTCAAGAAGCCATTCTCAAGGAAGGGAAGCAGGGAGAAAATGTGGAAGTATACCAAATTAGACAAGAACTGGTCTGAAAAGCAGCGGTCACAGGTCTGACTGAGTGATGTAATTTGACAGGTCTGGATCAGATTTTGTCCAATATGTACAGAGAATGTCAGAAGCAAGATGCTGGAGTGAATGTCTGTAGCCATCTGTAAAAAACAGTGGAGACTGTCATGTTTACAGCTGCAGTTGGGGATCTAATAATGAGCACCGAAAAGTAAAGTCAGATTTTATTAAAAACGTGGTTATACCAAATATTGACTTTAAAGCTAATTAAAACTGTGCAAACAAAATGATGTACCTATTCGCATTTTCTAAGCAAAATATGATAATATAACTGGTGGTTCAAGACTTTTGCACAGTACTCAGCTCTTTTTTTTTATTGGATATTTGACAACCAGATGTCCACATTTTCAAGTAATTACATCTCCAGGAAAAATGGGTTCTTGCAGCCCATCCTGAGGGGTATGTGAATGAAGCGCTCCTTCACATACCTTGACACGTGTGCAGGTGCCCTATGCGCGCATGGGCCGATGAACGTGATCGCAGCCTTTATGTAAACTGAACTTTCCTCGTGGGAGTCCCTGTGGTTCTTCTGTAGACTTGACAACTTCTTGACCTTCTCCTTCTCGTGAGTGAGTGTGGGAGTGCACATAAGAAATCTGAATTTGAACTGTACCTGCGCGAGCTCAGCAAATACACTATACCAAGCAATACATCAGACAGTATTTCCATGTGAGGAAACGGCACTACTTATCCTGCCACCCTGATAACCATGTGAAAGAAGAGTCACAGCGCATCTCCCAGGCTGCTTGATGTATTCATTTGATTGGCAATGTATAATTTCGCTGCTCTCCCTGATAACATGCTGCTGCAGCCGTAGGAGGTGATCAGGAAAACAGTGGGAGGTGCTCGCCAGCAAGAAGGAGGAAAAGAAAGTACAAGAGATTTGGATGTTACAGTCTAGTGTTTACAAAGCGTCTGTAACAATGTGGAAAATGATATATTTGTTATAATGATGGACACTTTGCAGTACATGATTACCAGGGCTTATATTTGGATTCATAGTGTCTGTGTACATCACATAAAGAACAAGATGCTCTCACATATTGTACCAAAATATAGAAGTAAGTGTGGGAAGCTTCTCGTGGCTTGCAAGGTGTCTTAGAGCAGCAGCAGTGTTTCTGGGCAGACTGAAACAAATTGTTTTTTATTATATAATCCTGTTAAATGTATTTTTTATGTATGTCTGCTTACATAATTTTTCAATCATGGCTGTAAAATGATCATTTCTGTGTCTTATCTTAGTATTACATAATAATGCAGTGATTCTGCTGGTTTGTGCACATTGCTTCAGTCCTTCTATTATACAGCTAACAGCCATCGTCTCTCCTTTTTGTTCCCCTTGCTTTAGAAACTGCTCCCATGAGAAGGTGGTGTCTATGCTGCAGGGCAGCGGAGCAGTGCCCACTCTCGTGGTGGAGGAGGGTCCATCTGACTTTTCTTCAGACCAAACAGATGCAGATGAATCCTCTAGTCTGGCCCCCGCCACATTGCCACGCTCTAGGTTAGCACACCAAAAATCTCACACTAGACCGAGCCTGTAGCAGTGTATTCGTTTTGAATGAAGGAGAAGGATTAGTTCAGTAAGTAGGAATGGGAAAATTAATGTTTGATTTCCTCCATACATGCTGTCCAGGTCTCCTGGTCTCAGTTCTCTGCAGTGGGTTGCAGAGATTCTTCCACCGAGCATCAAAGTCCACGGGCGGACTTTCAGCCAGCAGCTGGAGCACCTGCTGACCATCCAGGAGAGATACAGTGTCTGCAAAGCTTTAGAGACGTTCTTCCAGCACAGGTCAGTGAGCGAAGGCACAGGGAGCAGAGGGTTACAGGGTTACAGAGAAATCTGTTAGCAAACGAAGACATGGATTATTGAGCAAATGAAGGGTTAGCAGCGGAAGCAGGAAGCTACAGCTTAAGTTAGGTTCCGATATTATTTCCTATATAGGATGAAGGGATCGAGAAAGGCGGGATGATGAATTAGCTCAGCAGATGATGCAAACATGTGAGGCAGCAGGATTAAAATATCACTGTTATTCAACTGTATATGCATACAGCGTACACCCAACAACATAAATCATACCATAAGTGACATCTTTGTTATCCTCCCACCCTTTTCATTGCTCTCTCCCAGCATCTCTTTCTCAGCTTTACATGGTACAAAGAATATAAAATAAACCCTTGCACTGAATGATAGTCAGCCATAAGCAGGAATTATATAAAGAAGGCAGTGAGTGGATATGGAGCACGTGTGTTTGCAGGAACGTGGACACCCTGATCGTGGACGTGTTTCCAGTGTTGGACACTCCAGCCAAGCAGCTGATCTGGAAGTTCATCTACCAGCTGCTGACCTACGATGAACAGGAGCGCTGCCAGGGCAAGCTGTCTCGTTTCCTTGGCTACAAGAGCAACGGTGAGGCATGAAACGAATGAGAAGTTGAATTGGATTTTTATCGTGATGTACTATCGATGTTTATTGTGCTTTTTATATAAATAGCAAAATAGAGCCAATCTGACCCTGTGTGTGTGTGTGTGTGTGTGTGTGTGTGTGTGTGTGTGTGTGTGTGTGTTTTGCAGCATTATTAGAGCCTGACAACGGTCCAGAGCACCACCGGCGCAGCAGCTCCATGCGGGTGACGGGGTCATCGTACCGCAACAACGTCCGAGAGAGGAGCTCCGATGACTGCATCATCGGGACTCACCTAGGAATGGGTACGCTTATGCACGGCAACGTCCCAGTGGGATAAACACGTTGAATGAGAGCCTGTTGTCCTTTAGCACAAAATCATTATAATTCCAGAAATTGTTCAGCTGGGTTTGATTCAAAGGTTTTAAAAAGCCTTCGAGCTCCATCCTGCAACACATCTGCTACAATATAACCGCTTTAAGCAATTTATCTTGTCGTCGGGCAACCTTTCTTTGATGTAAAAGCTTTAATAAGCCACTGTAGGCTATAGCGCAAAGACAGCTGGAAGACAAAGTTAGCAATTAAAGGTAGAGCCGGTGAAGATTTAGCTGATGAAGATGAAGATTTTTTTCCCTCGGGAGGCAAAAAAAAGAGAGACTTGAGTGGGAACGTCGCTTCGTCACTGCTGGATGAACTGAAATGGTGTCGTAACAAGGTTGTTTGCCCCAGGTGACCAACACAGAATGTTAATGCCGCTTTAACGAAATCTGTAAAGCAAGAGGGATTTAAATGGGGTTGTTATTGCTAATAAGCTGTGTGCTTATTTAAATCTGCTTATAAGGAATTCAGTGTTCCCATCGTTATAACACAACTCATACAAGAGAAATCGACGATGAGACAGTAAATGGGGATTCCTGATGAAGTTACTGTACTATTCAAGCGCCGCTACCTAAATTCCCATTGAGCCAGGTCTTATCAGAGATAAGTAATGAGGCTTTATTTGCAGTGGCCAAGTCCCAGGTGGGAATGTGTGTAAGTGTTTGAGCTCACATAGGACTGCTACTAACAAAAAGAAAAAAAGTCATCACCAGGTCATACATTACATCCATTTCTCAGCATCCGTTTGCTTTTAAAAACTTCCCCAAGCTCTCAGTTTGAAACAGTGTTTATTTCCTGGCTGTTTCAGGCTTCAGGTACTTTACTTTTTCCCCAGTTTTCCATTACCATCGCTAACCCCCGTTGCGGGACCTGAGCTTTTTTTGCTCCTTCTGCGCTGTTCTGCTCTGCTTCATCCGCTCTCCTCCCAGGCTGGAGGTGGATGGTGGATGAACACGTGTCACTGTTCATGCTTTATTGTGCTTTAGGAATTCATATCGATGAATCCGGGAGCCCGGAGGAGAGGCAGTCAGGAGATGGAACCTCCTTCCCCGAGTCCCCTGACCTCAATCATGTAGGTATACCCGCAGCTTTCCCGCGCCTAGCTCCTCACCGACTGGCATTTACGGAACGCTAGCTATGATCTCTGTGCTCTCTGGTCTCACTTGATTTGAAGGTTTGCTGATCATTACTATTACTTTGATAATTGGTCAGATGTGAGTCTGCAGCTTAACCGAAAAAAATACTAATAAGCAGCAGACCTTCAAAGAAAATGTGCCCAGCAATAATGTGCTAATGAGATGATCATGCCTTCATCTGTAGATGACAGGTGTGTATACGGAGCTGGAGAACGTGTACGCAGGAAAGAGTGTGCCTCCTCTGCAGTGCGGCTCCTCACCAGAGCCCGAGAGCCCTCTCTCTCCCCTCACACTCCCCACCCTCACAGGTATTCTGGGTTCCTAAAAACTCACCGCATCCACACGCTTTCAGATACATGCTTTCATCTTGCTGTTTTAAGCCACCAGGGTCCCATATTTGCATAATGAAGAGATAAAATGACATGCAAAGTGATAGAAGCTGATCAGTTTTGGGCCTTGGTGGCACGTGTGACTTGATGCCATGTTTACATCATGATGAGATATGGGGGGTTGTGGTGGACGATGTGTCCTTATAGGTGGCAAACAAGCAGAATTGCTGCTAAGTGATGCTTTTTTTTTGCCAGTCTGATGTGAACATGGCATGGCAACCACTCAAACACACAAGCTTTCAGTTTATTTTTTAATTTATTTTGCAATGGTTACCTCTCAGAAGAAATAATCCTCCTGGTGACTACATGGTGTAGAATGTCAGATATTTACTAAGAGGAAAGATTCTCACGTCAAGGTGGCCTAAATATAAATCGAGGCCATCGTTTTTAATGTGCGTCTCTACAGGTAATCGTAAATCTGGCCTGTCCCTGTCTTGGAAGGAGCCTCTTCCCACTCCCGTGTATGAAATCCACCATCAAAGCAGCGTAGACTCCAACCCTTATGTCAGTCTGGAGAGCCCCCCGGCCTCCCCTCATCACTCAGACAGCGGCCACAACGTGCTGACCCACCGCAAAAAACTGTTCACCTTCTCCCGGCCGCCACGCAGCCGAGACACAGACAAGTTCCTGGACTCTCTGAGCGAGCAGCTGGGCCACCGGGTCACTCTGGTGGATGACTTCGTGCCCGGGGAGAACGACTACGAGGAGGTGAGGAAGAAAAACAGGCCACGATCTTAGAGCGTTATTGTTTCTTAAGACGTGATTTTCAGTTATTCCACCACTGAGCTGCCAGCTGTGAGAGGCAGAACAAGTGTTTTACCTTTATTTGGAGCAGGAGCAGAAAAAGTGGAACGCTCTCATTGTTGAGCCCTGACCCCTAACCCACAGTGGATTTTAAACCAGACTTGTCTAACAATTTATGGACCTAACCTTAAGAGTGAGTGACTTACTATTCAGCCTACAGCAGCCTATGCAGAAGAAGCTAGCTTCTGTAATGTTTACATTCTACAAATATAAAATCTCCATTGATTAAACCTTCAGACTCTTATAGGTGCTGGTTCAGTGAGAGGAATAACTGGAAGCCGTGCCTGCAATTAACGTGCGTCATGCATCACAGGATTATTATTATTGTCTATATTTCACATTTAAAGCTGCTACATTCATTACTTTTAAATTACAAATGAGTTTAAATTTCAATGCAGAGTGCGAGTAATGCTGTAATAAAAGCTAATGCTGGTCATACTTTCACTTTCACTGCCACAATATTGATTGGGCCAGACGGGAAAATGTCATCCTGTCTGACTCAGTTGCACAGAATGTGCGCCGCTGCGGCGTGGAAGCTGTTAGACCGCCGTGATCTCGATTTATATATTTAGCACGATAAGGAGAAAATCTGTTGTTTGTGCATTTGCTCCTTAATAAACAGTAAGCAAGTTGAACATTTAGAGAAGTTTTAACGTTGTAGTGTTGCATGTTTACATTAGAGCACCTCTAATGTACGCTACAATGAACACTTGTGTCACACGAACAGATATATCAAGGTGGTTGTCATGGTTTCAGAAGAAGAGTTGTGCCTGTAAGTAAAACGATACTCAGTTATATCATAGAGTTTTATCTACATATTTCTGTTTAGTAATCTGTATTTAGAATAAGTACTGGGCTTTTTATAGCATTGTCACGGTTCTTTTCCATTCACATTATGTTATATTATAATATATTGTATTGTTATTTTCATAGTTTTTATATAGAGGGTTGGAGATATTTAAGCGCATGGGTTTTAAATTCTGTAGATCAGCACTTTGATTTGATGTTATTTTGTAGATATTTTCTATTCTAAAAGTCAAAAAGAGAGAGAAAAAAAAAAGCAGAATTTCTGAACTTGCTATGAAGTGTGATAAATATATTTTGGGATTACACCTGTAAAATAAAATCTCCTTTTTAAACAAGCAAACTTGAATTTGGCTAGTCACCCCTTCAAGATTGCACCTTTGTGCACCTCTGCATTGATTTTAGTGAACTAGTTAACTTTAACTTTATTTCTGGGGAAAAGATAGAGTTGCAGGGAGCCAGATCTGCATGGAGCTGAAGTAGAAGTTTGTGTGAACAGTCTGACCTTCCTGAGCAAGCTTGGACTTTATGTACTGAAAACTGCTTTTTGGTTCGCTGGTGGTAGCCGGACACCCACCTCTCACCAGCACAGATGGTTCAGGGCATTAAAGCTGGGTCAGTCTGACACAGATGTCGGCTTTTAGCGAACGTTTGTGGTCTAGATAGAAATCACAGATGAATGGGACGTAAAATAGCAGCACTATTAGAAGTAGTCCAGAGGTGCACAAGGACAAATCTTTCTTTAAAATAAATTGTCAGAGTCCCAAAACATTCTGATCGCACCCCGTGTCGCTTTTTCTGTTCAAATATAAACAGGCAGTGAAGTAAGTTTCAGTACAACATTTCAAGCAAACGTCAAAGCCGTAATGAACCTAATAATAACCTAATTAGCTTGAATAGACTGGATTTTAAAACGTAGAAGCTGTTTATTAGCCGTTTACTAGACCATGTGGAGGCGAAGGTGGTTCTCGGGGCTGATGGTGCACTCCTCCTCCCTCCAGATGAGCTTCCAGGAGGACCAGGAAATCGGCTTCATGCCCCGGCAGCTCAGCAGCGGCAGCAGTGAGGATCACAGCAGCAGTGACGAGGCCTCTTCTCCCTGCTACTCCTCTGGATCCGAACCGATCCCACCACCTCCCACCCAAAGCCCCCCGCCTCCTCCGCCCTTGCAGGCTCTCATACCCCCTCCCATTCCGTTTACCGACCCTCTCCCACCAGTGCGCTTCTCACCCGAGCACGTGCCCCGCAGCCGGATGCCCTTCCAACCGCACCACCCCATCATCCCTCCTCCTCCACCCCCTCCGAGGACCATCCTGTCCAGCCGCTCTCCCCTACACAAAAAGCACCCGAGCAGAGACGAAAATGAGAAGACTCTCCAGCGCTTCCAACCCACCACCCGCCTCGGCCACACAACCCTGACCTCCACCAAAACTTTGCGCTCCCGCCCTACCTACCTCCCACGACAGTTCAGCCAGCCTCAGCCTATCCGCCAGCCCTCCCCGCAGCCCTCCCCGCAGCTGCTGAGGCCGAGCCAGCTCGTCCTGCAGAGGCACCACCAGCTCCACCACCAACACAGCTACCAGGGCCCACTGCCGCCGTCCCTCCAGGAGCACAGCCCATCCCAATGTCAGAGCCAGGGCCACGCGGGCTCCTCGCTGCTCTCGCAGCCTCCAACCTCTCACTCCTCCCTCCCCAGTCACATGAAGACCTTGGAAACCACAAGGCAGGAACACCACACATCCAAACAGGTAACATCTGCACTTTGTGGTTTGTTTGTTTTTTGTCTTGTTACTTGAAGTACAAATAAGACGTCAGCACACAGAAACAGAAAATGAAAACACAAAGAGGTTCACTCCATCAGTGCTGCAATCAAGAGCGCTTAGCAACAGAGGTGCAAACTAGCACTTGAACACTCTGGTGCTAATCAACATTCTGCATCATTTGCCCCGTTTTAACCTTTTAACATCGCTCATGTTTGCCAGCAGCCAGTTTCGGATTTGATGTCTGATCTATTTGCAACTTTTTAAATCTATTTCATCCCCAAATGTGCCTTTTATGACAGAAGATCTATTAGGCCAAAATCCACTTAAGAGGCTTGATTTGAAAGTTAATGCCTTCAGTATCTTAAGTGTAGCCCAACCTTGACTCTGTGTGGTTTGACCTGTGGGACGTCAGAGGATAAGGAGAAATAAAAGGACTACATGAGCAGTCTGAGACTGTATTCTTTCACCAAAACCCCAAATTCCCCCAACACTGTTCGTGAATTGAACATGATTCCAGATTTCTTCGTTTTTTTTTTTATTTCAGTGTCATATAAGTGTAAAGATCCAGGATAAAGAATTTTTACACCATACTCTTTCAGTAATTCTCCTAACAAACAGACAAAAACACAGAGACAATAAACAACTCACATGGCCTCTTTGGAAGAAGCTAATAAACTCTATGTTTCTTTTCATGCAGATCCATTTAAAACATGAACATCTGCTCAAAAATCAGTGTCCACTATTAAGTGGGATCACACATACAGTTGATTGTTTGGCTCAGATCTTAATTGGACTTCATTACTCGAGAACAGCACTCAGGCAGACCATCAACTTCATCCCGATAGGTCACATGATCTCATTGCAACCCACAGTTCAGCTGATATTCTCCTATAGACCTGAGTGGGAAATCTATTTATTTTGTTTTAATCTTCTTTATCCTGTCCACAGTGTGCTGTAAGCCACTTTGCAACCCATCTCAACCCCACTACTTCCTGCCATGCTCTTTCTGACTTAACCTCATGCTCTGTCCCCGGTTTTGCTGTTGCTTTCCATGACAGACCCATACCCTAAATAACTAATAATAGCAGTAATAATTTCTTTGTCTGCAACTGCTAAAGAGTATACAAGAAACGTGTGAGGTCCATGCGCACAGTGGGAATATGATTCAGTAGTGAGAACTGCTGTCTTTGTGCTGAACTAGAACACTATGGCTTAAGTGTTAAGTAACTGTTTTTCCATCTTCAAGGCTCCACCACCACCTCCTCCACCATTACCTCCTCCTTGTGACCCACCTCCGCTGCCCAAGCTGGGCCAGAAAGCCTCAGACGCTAACCACATGAGTGTAAAGAGGCTCCGCTGGGAGCAGGTGGAGAACTCTGAGGGAACAATATGGGGTCAGGTGAGTGGTGATCTCCAGTTATCTTGCATTACCCTGTGGTTACAGGCTGTACGGATACGTATATGTATGGCTCTGTCAGTAAAAAAAGAAAACAACATGTGAATCTACCCACTCGGACTGTGAGTTTTCTCACTACTCCTACATATCTCCATCCATATTTGGAAAAACCTCCTTATGTGTCTCCGATGAGTCATCAAGGCAACAATGTTGTTTTTGTAAACAGAGGCTGTGCCAGACTTGATCTGCTTTTAGATGTTAAAACGTTGAGCCTTTTTGATCCCAGCATATAGTCCTATCAGACATGAATAAAGTCTGAACACCATCCATAAAAGAAATAAGTTAAAAAAGCTGATTTTGACTGTGCCTTCGGAGAGTACAGTGTGTCCTTGTCTGTGTTTAGCTCGGGGAGGATTCGGAGTATGACAAGCTCACCGACATGGTGAAGCACTTAGACCTGGACCTGCACTTTGGGACTCAACGCAGATCCAGTGAGTGATTTTGTAACTTTGTCACGTCTTCATCAATTCATACACATCAAGTCATCTTAACCTCTTTGTGTCTAAAACGATACATTTGCATTGCATCTGAATATATGTGTGTCTTTATTGACGTCGCCTGTTGTGTTTGTACCTTCACAGTTATGTTCTCCATTGGAGCTGCTTCATTCACCTGCACCTCAAATCCATTCTCCATACGGCACCATATCCCCGTCTTGTTTTCTGTCATGATTATCAGTAATAACACAGATCTGCCTATGTAAAAAACAAACCACACAACTTGCTGTGACCGATTAAAAATCATTTTATTGGCCTCTAATGGCAGAGTGTGTTGTTAACCCACCAACCCGCCACATTCAGCCTCTGTGACTTAGTTTGCATATTGACCCCTGGTGCCAGGAGAACGCATCCTTACACTGTTTGTTAAAATTATCAGTCTCTCCTCCAGAGCCAGCCTTCCAGCCAGAGAACTTAAAAAAGAAAGACGTGGTGGAGATTCTGTCTCATAAGAAAGCCTACAATGCCTGTGAGTGCCACACAAACACGACACAAGGGTCGAGGATCAAGGATGTGAGACTGCAGCGAAAATACCTTTTATAGTTACAGCTGGTTACAAAAACGTTGCACAAGTAGAAGACAAAGAACATCACTTAACGAAGGCCAAACATTTTCTGCGTCACTGATGTGGAAGAGGAATTATAGACACTATTTAGACAAGGTATCAAATCCACATTGGGCCCACAAGATAATATATAGCTGATAAACTTGATGAAAATTAACTGATAAACTGATTAACCTGATAAAAACATGTTAGCCTGAAGTAGTAACGCTGCATCGAAGGGCAGGGTTCAGGTTAGAGCGCACTCAGACATATGTATTAGCATAACAAGGAGAATAGAACAGAATCAAGAGTTGAAAATTACCACTGACTCTGCAGTTGTTAAACTTCTGCTACTACTTATTCAGCTTCCCATGTGTGCTCTGTGCTTTTACCTGCTTGCATTTTCTTAAGTTGCATTTGACCTCTCAGGGCCACCGTAATGGATACAGTTACACTGTTCAAATAAATTAAAGGAACACTGGATGATCCAAGTGAGTTAAAGTTCAGGAATATCAGTTATAAACCATCATGACTCTATTTCACCTCCCTTGGTTGGAATGAAGTAACAGCGAGATAACTCCCTTAAAGAAAATGGATTTGGCCACAGATCATTGCTCTCTCCTTATACCTTCTGACTGATTTTTCTCTAGATTTGCTTTGTGCTAACTGGTACCAACAGGTCGTTCATGTTTCATTCACAAGGAAAAAGAGTGAGTCTCTACAAGAAGAAAAAGACATGTATATTTATGTTCTTCCTAGATCGTGGATCAGATTTGGCCAAATTTGATCAAAGAATTACAAAGAGTCATCTTACGTCAGCGTAACAATGGAGGTCAGTGTAGCAATATAGCAAGACAATGAAAAGTCTAAAAATGATGCCTTGCTTCTCTGCAGTTATCCAGATTGGACTCTTTGGCACAGCAACTTCTGTCTTCTGTCACGGCACTGCTAATTCACTGTTAATTAGCGAGTTTAGGATGTGACTCTGGGTTTCAGAGCTACATGTTACAGACACATGGTAATAAATGTGAGTGAAAGACAGGCAGATGAAGGGTTTGTCAGCAGAGCGGGAACACAGTGATCCTCTTTGGTACATAAATTCTCCACATTTTCCCCCGCCTACTCACCCTCCTCCTCCTCCCTGCAGCCATCCTCATCGCCCATCTGAAAATCTCCCCCGAAGAGCTGCGTCAGGTGTTGATGAACATGACCACCGACAGGCTGGAGCCGGCCCACATCAAGCAGCTGCTGCTGTATGCCCCAGACGAAGAAGAGGTGAAACAGTACGAACAGTTTGATCAGGACCCGGGCAAGCTGAGCGAGCCGGACCAGTTCATTTTCCAGGTGACTGTGGGGGAAAAATGTCAGAGATGATCAGAGATGTTTTAAAGAGTAAAACTAAATGATTTAACATTGTCTTTGTTTCAGATGCTAATGGTGCCTGATTATAAGACTCGCCTGCGGAGCCTCTACTTTAAAACGACCCTACAGGAGAGGACGGAGGAGATGAAGATCGCGTACGATTACATCTACAAGGCTTCAGTGGAGCTCAGGAGCAGCAAGAAACTAGCCAAGATCCTGGAGGTAAGGCTTTGGAGCAGTCGAAATGAAAATAAAGCCATCGGTGAATATCTGTGTTAGCAGTGAATACTTACGGCTTTACTTTACCAACAGTTTGTTCTTGCAATGGGAAATTACCTGAACAACGGGCAGCCGAAGAGCAACAGGACGACCAGTTTTAAGATCAACTTCCTAACTGAGGTACAGCATGGATGTCTGTGCCTTCGACACGGTAAGCTCGAGTTCAGTGTTTAGTCGCTCATGCGCTTCTCCTTCTGTCTCTTAGCTAAGCACAACCAAAACAGTAGACGGGAAATCCACCTTTCTCCACATTTTGGCCAAGTCTTTGTGCCAACACTTCCCAGAGCTGCTCAGCTTTCCCAGAGACCTCACAACAGTGCCTCTGGCAGCTAAAGGTACAATGCTCTAAGTTAATAGTTAATATACAGTAGAATCAGGTGTGCTTCTTTTGCATATTTTATGCTGTTGTTACAGTTTGATTTGCATATTTCCTTTGAGTTTCAATGGGTTTGTTACCTCATCTCCAATATTTTCCCGTGACAGTGAACCAGAGGGCCATTACAACAGAGCTGAGTGACCTTCACTCCACCGTGCAGGACATCAGGGCGGCCTGTCAGAAGATCCAGTCTACCCCTGACGATCACTTCACTTCAGTCATGAGTGTACGATAAAACCCATCCATTTTCAAGGCTGGAGCCTATTCCAGCACACGCAGGGTATACAATGGGTAGTTTGCATGTTATCACAAAGCTGAAACAGTAGGAACGACACTCAGATTAATGTCATAGGGAGAACATGCACACAAAGGCCCAGGTGGGCAGCAGGGTTGAACCCTTATGCTGAGAGGTGACAGTGTTAACCACTGTTCCACCATGCACCCCTACAGTAAAATCTGTAAATAAATGAATGATGTTTACCAACGGTTAAGAGTTAAAGAGCCACTCTTGTGTCTTTGCAGTTCCAGCTTAGCAAAGGAATCACTTGGCTGGCCCTGTCCAGTTTTCATCGACTACAAGCACTCTGATGTTTACTACCATACAGGTTATAATATAAGTGTAAAAAATATTATAAAAGCTCAGGAAAAACTTAACAAAATCAGCTGGTTTTGTTGTCTGGGTTCCATATTGTTGAAACAAGCGACATAATGACTTGCCCGCTTCGCACTGCTAAGCTAACCGTTTCCTGGTTGGGTATGATAATAACACAAACACAAATAATATGATAATGTTGCACTTCAACGGTCTAATTGACTACAAAGCTACTCATTCAAACTGTATCTGTCTGACATCTACAGCTATGGTTAGTTCATCATTTAATCCGAATTTAACAAGCAAGCTCCTCGGTCTGTGGGAGGAAAGCAGGGTATTTGGAGAAAAACAACAAAGAAACAATACGATACATTCCCTGTGCTCGTGTTATTAGGTGTCAGTAACCAGAAGTATAAGAGGAAAGTCCAGACATATTTGTATGGACTCTCAATAGATATCAATAACATCTCCAAACCAGGACTACTTCAGTTAGTGTACAGGTAGTGGCACCTTGCTTTGCCTCAAACAATTTTGTAGCACCCATCCATTATTATGGAGGAGTGTAAATATAGAGACAAGAGAAATCAGGGCATCATGGCAGCATCACTAATTGTTTTCTAACTCTTCACCCAGTTGCACAATTCATCAAGAGCCCCTGTATATTTGTTAACGTCTGTGCCCACAGACTTTCCTGGAGAACAGCCACCCTGCGATCCAGTCTCTGGAATCTTTGCAGACCAGAGCCATGGAGGAGTTCTCCAAGGTGGCCTCCTACTTTGGAGAGGACAGCAAGTCCTCCAGCACAGAGACCTTCTTTGGCATTTTTTCAGAGTTCGTATCCAAGTTTGAGGTGAGCTATTACTCCACTGTTCTCTGTGTTGATAGATGAGCAAGGCTAAATTTGACTTGTTCCAGAAGGCGACAGTCATATTTTGGATATATTCAGCAGGCGTGTGACAGACTCAAACCTACTAAACAATGAGGCATTCACACAGACCGGCTGCCTGCAGCTATAAACTGATTAGGCTGCAAAGCGGCACTGTCTATGGAATAAATGAATGTGCTCTAAATCTGAAAATAATGGGGTAAAATGAGTATAAATAAGAGGAGATTATGGTTTTTCTTTTGCAGAGAGCTCTCAGTGAGATCCAGACTCCGGAAAACCCCAGAAGCCCCAGACTGTCTTCCCCTTTGGCCTGGTAGAAGCAAGAAATGCGGGCAGATGTCGGGCCAAACCGAAAAGGCCGGCTGGCTCAGTTTTCACTCTGCTCTCTGTAACCAAAGTGCCAAGATCACACACAGACACTCAAACCAACGGGAACAGAGACCACGTCATCTATAGCAAACACAATGGAAACGCGCTGTATCTGTATGTAGATAAACCACAAGTTAACGAGTGCCCCGTGTGCAGCAGTGCTATTACTTCAGGTGCTGGTAGAGCAGGACTATTCAGGTGTCCACAGATCAATAGGAACTCCACAGCACACACGCAATACTCCCGCCAGTTATTAACGTTATTTACATCTCTTTTTAATGCGCATTAATTGGTAAGTTTGTAACGATTGTTAGAAGGAAGCCTTTCAAGGCCCTTGATTGCGATGCTGCATTAAAGTGAGGTTTAAGCAACGACAACAACTGGTATGACTATTTACATGTTTATTATACGACTATATAAAGTTTATATTTTCTATCAGATCATATTTGAAAATTGTAAAGACGAAGCATAAATGTAGGCTGATGACAGTTATCTGGACTCAAGATGACTGACAGGTGTAGTTCAGTGTTAGTGTTTGATGGTGCGCTCACTGCCTCCCATACTGCAGGATATATTTTAAACATTCAGAAATAGTAGACGGTAGGAGTTTTTAAACTATTTATGTCCAAATTGTGAATCTAGAACATGAATTGTATGACTTGTAGTCATATTTATTTCCTTTACTGTGAATTTAAATGAAAATCATTTTTCTTTTCTCTTCTGATAGAGGCGAGTTAAAGTCACACACACCCAGCTCTGGTCCTAAAGTGTTGAGGATCTGATGTCTATGGAAGCAAAGCAAGGCCGTAAAGATTGTAGAAATTTACAAATTTAAGTTTTATTAATATTTAAATTTTTCTTCTTGTTATTATTATTATTATTATTATTATTATTATAAAATGTGTTAAAATAACTCAAGCCAAATGTCAAAACTCATCTTGCAGTGATAAAATCAAATTTGTCATTTGAACAAACAAACAAACAGATCTGAAGAGAATTCTTTGGCCTGCATCCTTTAAGGTTACATTGTTACTTATGTCAGTCAAGTGTAAACACTCTACCATGACAGCTCGCAATCAATTTTTTGCCTTTGAATTGTTGCGTTGAAGACTTGGATGGAAATAAAACGGCAATAAGATGGAGTCTGACTGCTATCAGTTTGCGATTGAAGGGGGTCAAGCCGGCAATCACATGAAATCTGTTGATGTCCAAATTCACATAAAATAAAAATTAACCACTTGTATTCCCAGTCCAGCCAGAAGCCCATAAATTCCTCCACCACTAGTGACGTAGTTGCTGCAGGTTGGCGATTTAACTGCAAATCAAATAGGTGCTGGGCAACCTTACAGGAAGATAAACAGAATACAACCAATTGGCAAACTGTTGAGTTGAATTCCCTACTGCAAAGAGAAACCACACAGATGAGTTGCGTACACTGGCGTAGACTGACTCAGAGTCAGTGTAACATGCAATCTGTCTGCGTTTATAAATTAGATGCAGACTGCAATTGTTTGGAGACATGTTGCCTCCCACCAGGCAACCGGTCTCCAAACAATTGCAGTCTCCTTATGACTCCTCAGCAGCTGGTCACTGCAACTTACAATCCATTGCAACATGCGCATTGACTAACTGAGTAAATGCAGCCCATTTGCACCCAAACTAAAGCCTGTGAACATCCGCTAGTATTCATCCAGTATCACTGCTGTTCTCCCTGTGAGGACTTGGTGAAATCCACATTCATTTGCACATTTGTTTTGAGGATTGAGTGATGTTTTGCAAAAAATGCTGCACCTTTTACGGCCCGCCATCGGCACATCGTCAAATTCTGTAGTTTCAGAGCATGTGGGTGATTAGTGTCCTTTTTTGTTGTTGGCTGTACTCAAAGGTGAAAGCCAGCTTCATTGTGAAGCGTGAGCTGTTTGCTTCTGGCAAACGGCTAATGGTTGTGCACTTTGTGGAGCCTTTCTAGTGTTCTGAATGCATCTCTGCTCCAACAAGTGGGCGGCCTCTGGATGAATGCGCGTCAACAGGGGGAGCGGGGAGGAAAAACACACTGTAAATGGACATTTCCTGCGTTTCTGGTTGTCATGGTGATGTCATGACTCCTCTACAGTACAGTGTACCTGTAGCTGTGTTGTATTTCTGTTTATGAACTATTGAAATTGTAAATTCATTGTTTTTTGCTATGCACTGCTCATCATTTCTTTCTTTTTTAATTGTATTCCCCTGTCCTCCAAGTCCCAGTTCACTTTCTTATTCAAGAGTGTCACCAGGAAATTACCGTTTTATTTATTCTTAATGTATAGCTTTAGTCAGGCTCACGAGGTGACTGTGACCTTGTAAAAATAAATAAATAAAAATAAAAAATACACTCCTAGCTGCTACAGGTGTAGTAACGGTGTTTCTCGTCCCCGTCATTTGCATGTCGGTGCAGTTAATGTATGAAAGCTGTGCAGCTGGTAGCATTTACCCTCCCTGGATATTTAGGTTTAAATACACTTCTGTTAGTCTAGCTAGGTTAACTTATTGGTTCTCTTTTATAACTGTTTTATATGTTTTCATGAAAAGTTGCTAATGTTTTGTGATCATTTTACCTTTCTGTTTGCTTTCCGATGGAGGATATGTTTAAAATGTTTTAAATAAAAAAAAAAATGCCTGAAAGTAACGCCGTTTGATTTATCTGTGCTTTCAGGTGATAGGTTTAGAGTGACCCACGTGTTGAACGCCCATTATTATCAGCTGATAGCAGATATATAAGTATCAACATAAATCAGTCCATGTGCAAATCTCTGCTGAATTCTAATCTGCAGTAAAAGGAAGAAAGCATATGAAGTATCATAAATCGACCTGCTGATATACAGCTGTTACTCTGGACGTGATAAAACACAGAGCAGCACCAGCAGCAGCACCTGACGCGACTGTGGAAACAGTAGCCTCTCCACTCTGCCTCCAGACTTTAGTCAATTTAAAATGTACTTTCATCTGAAAAGGGAACAACTTAGCAACAGTTTGGTTTTGTTAGCCCACGTAAAAACACTTCATCTGGTTGGTCTTTGGTGGCTTGATATTAGGGACGTGACAGCAGCGTGACGGAGGCTCTTGGTGCACTTACACCAGCTTTAATCCACTCCTCGTGAAGGTCTCCCAAGTTCTTGAATCGACTTTTTCCAACAATCCTCTCAGGGCTGCAGTCATCCCTGTTGCTTGTGCACCCTTTCCCCTTCCAGTCATCTTCCCATTAATATCCGCTGTGGCAGCACTCTGAAGGGTCAGGCTTTTGTGGTTTACCCTCCTCGTGGAAAGCGTGGATGGTCGTCATGTGAACAGCTCAGTCTACAGTCAACTGAAATATTTTAATGACCCAAATAATCTTATTTCAGTTTAACCTGATCGTTTTAGCATAATTGCATATAGCCCTTCAGTGGCAACAGGAAAAAGTGTTTATTGGTAACATTTTGTTAATGCAATTTAAAAAAAAAAAAAAAAAAAGATTTTTAATCAGTGACATTAGCAACTTTTTAAAATCATATTACAGGAATATTTTAACCCTCATTCTTTAAGGCTGTTACAGGACAAGAGTCGAGGCACAAGACAATCAACCTGGAGCAGAGTTAAATAGTTTCTTCATATACTTTATTTTCTTTGGAAAGGAAAGCATTCATATTACATGTTTTTCCCCCATATTTAAGCTCACCAGACAGCATACATATAAAACTATGGAACTTAAAAATGCAGCATCATTATCATCATTTCTAGTTTAATGGCATTTGTTTGTTCTCTCAACGCACAAGGATAAGGCAGCAAGGTACAAGAGTGCACAGAGAGAGAAAGGAGGGGATCATAATGCTCTGATTGTCTCTGAAAAACACAACTCGACTTCTTTTCAGGGCAACTGCAGCATCCAAGACCTTCTCACCTGGTACCATGTTGGGTCAGCTCTCTAAAAACCACAATCTGCATTTATCAGAGGCCAAAAAATAATAATAACAATAAAGCAAAGTTTACACAGAAAATACAACAAAGCCATTTAAAATTTTAAAAAATCCAAAAACAACAGACCGGGCAAAAATCTAACACCACATCACTACTGAGATATCACAACACCGTGTTCACTCAGCTCAGTGGGAAAGACAGAGAGAGAGGGAAAAAAACCCAAGCCCTCTATAACCGAGTTCACTAGAAAACCACTCAATGAGTCTGGCCTGCGCTCAAGTGCAAAATCAGCTCTTTATGCATCTTTCTGCTCAGGGTGATGTTTCACTACATTCGCTCACGCTCAGCCCCGCTGTGTGTAATGCCCTGGCGAACGCCGGAGAGCACACTAAGATAGACTGGAGAAACAGAAAGGCAAAAAATACTGACTGCATTCAGGCTGGGAGGGTCAGGCTGACCCCTGCTACGTCTGCTTAGAAAACCCAAAACACATTTAAATACACAACTTCTGCAGAACAATGCAGAAGCGCACAGTTTCTTATCGGACACGGCCTGAAACATACCCGCTACCGACACAGCTTCTTAGAAATACTGTGGTACTAGAAGGGAATACCCCCCCTCCTCTATACAGTAAATGCGTATTTCATAGTTCTGGGAGGAACCGATAAGGCATGGTGCATATTTAAAGACTGCATTAAAGATGTCAAGCCACTAGGGAATGTATTTTTGTTTTAAATTGGTAAATAAATACAGGCAGGAGGAAAAAGAAATAAAAGTATGGGTTTCCATATAAAGGGGGAGAAAAGGGAAAGTTAAGTGTTTGAGACGACTGGAAACCTGCAGTCACAGCTACACTTCAACTGTTTTGGTTTCTATTCCATCCACCTTTTAAAAATACAACTTATTTATTTCTTGATCTAAGGCCATGTTCAACACTGAAAAATACTCACACACAGAAAAACCCCACCTTACACCAAATACAACTGAGTCCTATCAGTCCGTAGTTTGGCAACCGCCCCACATTACCCCACCGTGCTTTTATATTGCCGTAACACCGTCTCTAACAGCAGTGCTGATCCAACATCTGCCCTTCGTTTCTGCTACGCTCTTCTTTGACGATTGTCTGGAGCTTGATCTGCAGGGAGTGCGGTGTAAAGACAGAGGGGCTGGTACATGTCGCAGGCTGAAGGCTTTGTATCACGAGTCTCCCTGCAAAAATCACATCTGGCAACATCATGGAGGTCGAAAAGACTGTCGGGAAGCGAGTGCCGATGACGGCTGAGACACACGAACTGCACTAAACAACAGTAGAAACAGTGGAAAACACCAATTGCATGTGGACGCTACCTCTGTTGTCAGACTATAAACCAAAAATTTGGCATTTACATGACTATCACTCCTAGATTGTTTCACACATATGAATTAAATTAAAAACAGAATGAAGCAAAGGAGCTGGGGGTTGCAAAGTGGCTTGCGTGTGAGATCCTTTAGCTGATGTGAGCTGGGATCAGCTCAGTTCTGTGAATTTATAGTGATGTTTTACCCCTTTTAGCTTAAAGATGTGTTATATAATCAATAACTATACTGACTGTGAGCTGTAGTTATGGCATTTATAAAAGTGAAGACAACCAGTAGTAACGCTCTAAGACAAACTGCCACTCATCTAGTTTACCGCCTATAATAATGTGATGTTAAAATGTGTGTGTAGTAGTGGGTATAAATACTAATAGAGCTCGCATATAATAAACTAGCATGTCAAAGATTAATCATGTGACTGGAGAAATGTTTTATGTATTTTGCTGACAGGAAGCTGTTTGACCTCCATGATGGCCACCATTAGTTTGTTGTCCTTCATGACCAGGCACAGTTGGAGAAGTTCATCTTTTATACGAGGGCTGCAGATATGGGCAGGCGCCTCCTTATAGGACAGTGCTCTCGCTCTCCAGGTCACAGTCTTTAGGAAGAGGCGGCGAAGAGGAGGAGGAGAAGGCGGTGGCAGTCGGCAGGTGCTGGTCTACTGCCGTGAGGTCAGGGGCCAAAGCTCGACTCAAACCTTTGAAAGGACTCACCGGATCTACAAAGCGGGACACATCACGGAAGACAGATTAGTTGTGGTGAGGAAACACGTAAGCTTAGTCACAATAGCAAATAATCTTTAGATAAAAGGAGATGTGTGATGTAACAGCTGAAGCAGATAATTCCACTTACTGTTTATGTTAGCAAGGGACTGCAAATGGGTTTCCCATGCACATAGGAATTCATATAAAATGCTACATAAATGTCCCAAAAAGATAAATGCCCACATGACAAACAGCAGCCATAATGGCAAACACGTGCCCGATGTATGAAAACACTTAAAGCTGCTGCAGAGCAGTCAAACTGTGTCATATTTTCCGCAGATTAAAACTAAACTGGAGCAGAGGTTTGGCAAGTGAGGAGTTCTCCAGCCAGCAGGTGGCGCTGTGCAACAGAGACTGACGAGCAGCAGTGCAACAAACCAGTGGAAGCAGAGAGAAAATGTAAAGTTCGGAGAGATGTTTCTGTTTCATTTTAGCTGGAAAGCTCATTTGCATTTGAATGCAATTAATAAAACTAGGGCATTACACTGTTTTGGGGGTGGGTGGAGGGGTGGACATGATTCTGAATACTGGAAACACAAACATGCATGTTAGAGGTGCACATGAGTTAAAAAAATACAAAAAAGGGGCAACCAGCTTAAAAATTCCACAACACAGATCACTTCATATTTCTGAAAATCTGAACGGAGTTTCCCGGACAGTGAAGGGTTTGAAAGCCTCGCTAAGAGCTGATCAGAGTTTCAAACCCTTTTGTTTGTGATTACACAGTGACAGCCGATGAAAATGACTCGTGAGCAATGACAGCTCTGATGCCAGACTGCCGTATTACCTGTAGTGAGACATCCACTTCTGGAAACATGTTTTTGAGAAGCAGTGGAAGATAAAGTGAACAGTTTAATCGAGTCCATCAGTGTGAAGCTCTCAGGTGTCTTTCCGTGTTAATGGAAAAAACACAACATTTTTAAAGTTAGTGCACAAACATAAGCCAAAAAATTCAGTGGAAAGATTTTAATGATTCGTGTTTCACCTTCAGGTATTTCTTTACATATTGGAGTAGCTAGCAAAGTCTGTATGGTACAGAAGAAGAGGACATTAATCCAAATGTGTCTCAATGACTCGAATGAATGGCCCACTATAAGTAGGTAAAGATCAGTGAGGCTATATTCCCTCTATACTTTGCAACTCAACTGATGAATTGAAGTTTGAGTGTTTAAAAACACAACATTTTCTTCTTTTTTTTTTTTTAAAGATCTCAAGAGGAACAAATATTATCTGCTGATTTCTTCCTCATCATTCGACTGGAAGCAGCAACTGTATCAAATATCTGCTTTTCACATCAGAAGTGGGTTTCTCACTAAAATCCATCACACATCATGGGACAGTCGTGCATCAAAGCTGGTTTAAAAAAAAAAGGACGTGAAAGAGCCGGCAGGCTGTGATGATGATATATATTTAAAAGAAAAAAAAAGTGCTACTGCAAGTGTCAATTATCAACAAACCTCACAAGTGTGTCTTTAACCTGCAGAGGTATTACAGTGAAGAGTGTTAGAATTACAGTACATTAGTATTAGGTTAGTAATGACACTATTACACACACTTCACATAAGAAACGGTACCCACCCATCATCTTGGTGCAGATCCCG